TTGGGCGGCCGGAACACGCCGCCCTCGCCGTAGGTCGGGGGAGGGACCGCTGCGGCTTCGGTGCCCGGGATATCGCGCGGACGGTAGGCCGTGTAGAGGGCGACGCCGCCGGCGAGACCAGCGCCCGTGGTGTACAGCAGCCCCCGGAGGATGCGACTTGATCGCGACCGTGTCGCCATCTTGTACGCTCAATCAATCGCAGGTGCGCGAGAAGGTGGTAAAATAAAATAATAAAAATTAAGTCTGCGATCCAACTAGGGGTGGACGCCTTCACATGCTATGGTTAGCTCCACAGGTCACGGAAAATTGCACACACGCGCCGGCTCACCTCAAAAAGCCATCAAGAGTGCATCCTCCACACGGCAGAAGATGCTGAAGATTTTTCCGGTGAAAGTCGGAGCGTCTTGGGGATACAGGGACGAGCACGAAAGGTGGAGAGTTGATGTACATAATGACGACAGACGCGATTTGCGCCGGGTTCATCGGTTCGGACGGCCGAGGCGCGCCGCTTCGGCAGAATGCAAACCCCGAAATTTGGGCAGCTGAGCCGACGGATGCACTCTTTGGAGAGACCCGAATGCCCTGCATCGGGGCGAGGAAGAGTTATATTACGGACGCATCTCCATCGCCATGCGTGGTTGATGGCCGCGATCCTGGATGCAGCATTCACTCAGCAGTCCATCGCCACCGAATGGATCGACGCGCCCCCACGGCCACGCCAAGCCAAGCCAAGCGCACGATGAAATGCTCCGCCTCGTCTACCATTCGAGCGAAATCCCGCCCACTCCTCCTCACGGCCCCTCATCAGTCCACACGTCTGCAAAAAGAAACGACCTCGGGGAACAGTCCGGACCGCGGCCGCGGCCTGCGAGCTGAACGTCGACTCTGACTCCCTCACGGACCGAACTGATGGTGGTCGTCCATCCAGAGCATCTTGAAGCACGCGTTGTATGATCAAATGCAGCTCAGCACCTCCAAGCATTGCCCCCCTAACAATCATGCTTCAGCTACCGCAAAGAGCCCTCCATGCACGTCCAGCGGCCAGGCTCGGCAGCTCTCTGCGCACGATGCACGAATCTTATGCCGTTGCTCGTTGACATCAGTCCAACGCCCAAACTCGGCAACGCTCACTCCCAATGTTGGAGCGAAACGTACGGCAAGACCAGAAACATCCAAGGTATAGAGCCCGACACGTGTGAGCTGTGCCGAATACTACACAATGCTTTCGCTCGCGTCTCCAGCTTCGACGGAGCGTCTACAGAGATCAGAATATCCAACCATCCGCTCGCCAAATTCAAAGGCCTAGAGCACAATACCTGCAGTTTCGAAGCATGCGGGAAGCAGGTAGCTCTGGTGCTACTCCTTCCCGTCGTGACAGCTGATGACGGAGAACATGCACGCGCATTCACCGGCCGTCCTATGCTGCAGCTGATGAACCCGCTGCTGGCAAGAGATTGGATGGCCAGATGCGAAGGGCATACTACATGCAAGCCGGACCACTCTCCGAAGGGATTCGACTTTCCTTTTCGTCTCATTAATGTGTAAGAAGAGTGGTTGGTGGATGCTTCCCTAGACGTCCGCTATGTAGCGTTAAGCTATGCGTGGGGCGGCGTCAAGCAAGTCATGTTGAATAAAACGAGCCGAGAGTTCCTAAATCAAGTAGGGTCCATAAGTCCAGCAGGATTGAAAGAGCCGGAAGGGAAGTACTCGGATGTTGGACAGTCTGTGAAAACCGAAGGAAGAGTGATTCCGCAAACTATTAGGGATGCTATACGGTTATGCCAGCTTCTGGGTGAACGCTGCTTGTGGAAAGATTCCCTGTGCATTATGCAAGACGAAGAATACCGAGACGGCAGTGGAGCGTGGACCAACGCCGACAAGATGGCACAGATTCCGAGGATGGACATCATTTACGGAGCATCGGCGCTTACCGTTATTGCAGCATGCGGCGCAGACTCCAACACTGGGCTCCTAGGTGTGCATATAAGCAGCACCCGGACAACGAAATTATTGGGTACGTGTTTCTGGCGTGCAAACCGCGCGGGCATTATTGTTCAAGTGTAGCGAGTCTATTGCAAGATAACTGCGTCCACCTGAGATAACAGGTACTGACAACCTCCTGCGAGCTTTACTAACTTCGTACCCGCCACTTCAGGCAAAATCGGAGATCAAATATTCGTATCCCTCCATAGCGACCCGATGGACGCCTTCTGGAGTTCAAAATGGTGCGAACGGGCACGGACATTTCAAGAATTCCTCCTCTCTAAGCGACACTTGATTTTTCTCGCCGAGCAAGCCGTTTTCCATTGAAGTACCATCTCGGGGTGCGAAGACCATTCCCCCGAGTTTGTCGATAAGCCCGAAGCTACCATGGCTGTCCCAGCATGGACAATATCGTGGCAACTGCGTCCCCTGAAACTACCCTATCGTTCCAGGTGGTCCAAGAGCGTTTTCTTCCCGGCCATGTTCATCAACGGCTATTATAATCAATAGCTCAAGAACATCCTGAAGCGACGCCTAACAGTCTCCTCGGATATTCTATTCGCGTTTCCCGAGGCACTTTCCGCTTCAAGGCACTATCTCGGTACATTCCATGACGGGCTTCCAGTCGACTGTTTCTGCGAAGCTTTGAAATGGTCTGTGGGTACATCACCCATGTACATGGGTTTGGGGAAGGACCCACACTAGGGCCTCACCCGGGGCAGAGAGGGTTTCCCGTCATGGTCGTGGACAGGCTGGATGTGGGACTTGGCGAGCTTCGAAGAATTCCACTTCAATTATGGTGGAAAGACACCAGACCATTGGTGTCGAGTTGGTGTCTGGGCCCCAAGGATGTCGGAAGATGGAGAGATTGAGCTTTGGGAGATAGCGTCCCCCGACGTGAAGAGCTGGGAACGATTGGACTTCTTTCCCAGTCCGGCCTTTCAGGTAGACGACTTCATCAACAACGAGCTACAAGCCCATCTTCAGACCGTCAAGAAGTCTCCAACACTGTTAATCTGCCTCCTCATCAAGACACTGGCTTCCTCAATCTTCGTCAGCTCCGAACACCAACAGTAAAGCAATACCCTCCAAACATTCTCTTCACCCGACTTCATCCCCGAAAACCGCATCGGTGGCATCCAACTCCCAAGCAGATGGCGTGAAAAGATCAACGACGGTCTGGAGCTGCAGATAATCATTACAGGCAATTTCTTCTTCGGGCCCAACGCGAAGTTCCCGAACCAAACCGATGAGATGGATCCGAACACTGTCTGTCTCGTGGTTGAACAGGCTGCAGACGGGCATCTCGAGAGGGTGACTAATATCGCCGAACGATTCTCGCAAATAAGGAAGCTAGAATAGAGACCTATCGTGGCGGTATTGCGAAAAAAAAAAGATTGTGTACGGGCAAAAACGAGGCACTTGCCTAATCATTAAATTGGCAAGAGGGGGTGGCGTTCATCGATATTACATCGCCCAAACTCGACCATCATTCGACTTTACACTTAGGTGTCAAAGCCCGCGATTGAATAAGGTTTTCTCACTGCCAAGACGGGCCAGATATTAGGTCGTGGTACAAACCTGCGGCTCTGCATTGATGTGCCTGGATGCCAACACTGATTGGCACTTCGACTGGGCTTCACATGTGGGCGTTCGTATTCTTCGCTTTCCACCGTACGTTCTCCTCAGCTGAGGTGGTGCTCTCGACCTCGGTGTAACGAGGGATCAATGGATGCTGGGTATAATAGGGAGTGCGTTTCTTCAATTTCAGAGCCATGACACTCGGACTACTACTCGACAACCCGTTCAAAGCAATCATGAAGCTATTCGCACTCGCATATACATGCGCTTTAGCCCTCCCCAGCGTCCTCGCCGAGAGTTGTTCCTACTGGGACGATGGCGTAGTAAGTGCTGCACCGAAACCCGAACCTCACTGTCCTAACAGAGTCACGCAGACATACCACGGCACTTGCGGGAGCCCAGTCTCGTGCAACAATGCCGGGAACTTCTATGTTGACAATCAATGCTCCGGTGGTATGTCTCCTTTCCTTCGATCCACGAAAAACTAACCATCAGTGCTGATAACTGCTAGGCTCCAACAACAAATGCTGTATCGAACAGGCCTGCCGTGGGGTAGCTGGATGGTGCCTCAATTCGAATACGAGTGCTGGTAAGAACTGGTGCAGCCTCGTGGGCGGGCATTTCGTCTCGTAAGTGTGACATTGAGGGGCGTGAATTATATCACACAATTTGCTGATGATGCCATAGAAACCGATGCCCTGGGCCGGATGCCGTCAAGTGCTGCCAGTATTAGTGGCCAGTCTCCCAGGGGGCTTGGGGGTAAGAAGTGGGCGAGTCTTTCTCTTGGTTATGGACACGATGGCAGAATGGGAATTCGGTTCCGGTGAGAATTATGCGGAAAGGCATGCGTGGGAAAGTCATGACGCACTGAGATTATTCGGACCTTGTGCTCAACAGGAGACATCATTTGATGTGAGGGTAGCATTCTATTCGAAGTCTCTCGTGATCTTTGTACAAGCACACAAAATCAATCAAATCTTACCTCTTGGTCTTCTGAGAATGAACTGGATCTGTTTTATACATGTACACAGTATCTTTGGGCTTTTTCTAATATGTACTTCTACATCAACTGTAAGGGAACACTTGGTTCCTAAGATTCGTTTACTGCAAGAGCGGAGCCGGTGGATTTTGAGAGACAATGCCTGATTGTACAAAAACTATTCGCTACCCAATCCCCGAGCGCCAAACAGGCCTGTCGATCGTCTCGTCCCTGCACTTCACCGGAGGCGTCCAAGCCACGAGAGCCGCCAGGCCAGACGTGCACCCGAATGATAAAGAAGCGAATTAGAACAACGAATGCACAGACGAGTACAAGAACAGGAATGTTCACGTAGAGCTGGTTAGTTGCAAAAAAGAAATGTTAGCTATTCCGACACTGGAACTCAAACCACTAAAAAGTGGCCAGCAAAATTGTACGAGACAAAAAAAACAAAAAACTCCCCCGCGTGGGCTCGAACCTGGGATAAATTAACCACATGTGAGAGGTATGGTCTGAGCTCGATTTACTTACCACGAACCTCCTGATCACTGCAAAGTAACAGTCAGACGCGCTAGCCAATTGCGCCACGGAGGATGTTCAACTCGCTGAGTCGGTGACGCTTGAATTATGCCGACTTTTCCCGCCTAGTTAAAAAATATTCTGTCTTTAAAAGGAAAGAGCGACTGACTACGCGAGGAAGGTGCAGAGGTTGGAGGGGTGGGGCAATTTTGAAACCTTATGGGAGGTTTGTGGGGCGAAGCGGCTGACTCATGATTGAATATGGGTGTTGCATCGCATTAACGGATGATTGGTTCAATGTTGTTGTCATACCAAGCTACCTAACTCTTCATTAAACACAATGTCCCAGGACCATGTCCCTTGGAGATGATTGCCGCTTCGATGGTCAATCTTCCCTACGAAACGCTGCAACGTATTTGCAGCCTGACAAGATCCAGCTTGAAGTCCAGATCGGTTGCTGGCAGAGTCACAACGAATACTTGTGAGGTCCCGCACCGCAGTTTCTATAAAAGTCTCGATCAATTCGGACCTTGATGGATTCCCATTATGATTCGTTTGGTTGCCTGCTTCAAAATGCGCATGTTGATGGCTTATGGAGAATGCTAGCTTGCGTACAGTCGGAAGCGTGAAAAGTGCCGGAGCGGAACGCTGAAGTCTACCAAACTAACGACCGGAGCCTTGTATGGCGATCATGTCGGAAGAGGGGAGAGGATGGATCAGATAGGCGTGTAAAACCCATAAATTGAATGGAAGGAGGGAGAACAGGAAGTGGTGATCGTCATCACCATAGCCCAGATGTTATAAGCTTGCCCGTTCAGACATCCCTCCTCACCTTCTTCCAACTTTCACATTCGCGCGACCCGGGCACCAGGATATCACGCCAAGATGCGATGCAAGGCCTGTCACCATGATACAAAGGTAGCGACCAGCTTACCAATGGGGAGACGGTACAAGAAGCCCGCCCACCTGTTCAAATCAGGCGCCGTTCTGGCTTTTGTCTGAGTTGTGATGAGCATCATCTCGGGTAATCGATGGTGAACAACTTCGGAGACCAATGTATGAGGGATGGCTATCTCGTCCATTGATCTCTTTGGAGATCTCTCGAGTATTCATCTAAGGGCTGCGTGTTGCCGCCACGAGCTTCTAAAGGTCGGTACAGGCGGTACGTCTTACTACCAATGTCGCCGTTCCGGTGATCGATTACGCGACGCCTTTCACAGCTTTCTTCCTGATCTTTGTGCCAACCTTGGAACTCTTCTTCGCGACCGCTTCTTGCAACTCCTCCAACCCGTTCGTTTCGACCTTTGACTTCTTTTCGGCAGCCGCCTCTCCCTTCTCCTTCGTTTCCTCAATGCCTGTTTCCTCTTCCAGCTCCTTCGTCCCTTTATGTCCTTGCATCCCTCCCACAGCCTTGTATACCAAATTATCACAATCCCACGTTATCAACTTCCTGCCCAACTTCTCCTCCAATTCCGTTCCAAACTCGTTAAATTGAAGCCTCAACAACCGCCGACTGTCTTCCCAAGCGACCCACGCCGCGGCTTGCAACAAGCAGTCTGTAAGATCGTCCACCTTTTTTGCATCATCCTTTCTAATCTGCGTCCTTTTGGATCTTTCGGATGGCGGGTCGGTGTAGTAGAGGACGGTCTGTCGTGTAGTTTCGGCATCGACCCTCGGATTCTTCCCCTGGTCGCGGAATGACAGGTTCACGGTTGGCCTGTGTAGGGGGTCTGATCCGGTGGTGGACGTCTTATTGGCTTCGAGCCACGCGCGTAGCAGCTGGATCTTTGCTTTCTTTGTAGCCAAACTTTTGGTCACCTTCTTCGCCGGCTTGCTACCTGCTTCTGGTGGGGGGGCGGCCCCGGCCCCGTCTTCCGCTTCTAGATCGCCTTCGTCTATGAGTTCCTCCTTGCCACTCGCCCGAGACGGCGATCGTATGTCCTTGATAGAATCCTCGCCGAGCCAATAGGAGCTGACACGTTTGGGATCGACTGCGAACATGAACATCGGTCTCTTGTGCAGTTTCCGCTCGCGTTCGGGAAGCAGTTTGAATTCAGCCTGCAGAGTGGTGAAGACGGCCCACAGCATTGCCTCCAAAGAGTTGACTCTTACGGTCCATTGCTGGATAGCGCTCGAGCTCGAGCTGCGCCATCGCTGGCGTTCGATCAGAACGACGTCTGGCTCATAATACAGCAGGTTTCTCCTCAGGAGCCAGTAAGCTGTCTGTGATAAGAATTCCGGTGCGAACGGATCCGTGTCTTTCCCCCCTGCTTCGGTGACGACGTCCGTGTCAAGGTTCTTCTCGACGTTGCTCCTCAATGCCTGGTCAGTCAAGTCGAGACGGCGCCACGACGTGACTTCCATGCTCGATTCCCCCGTGATTGTGGAACTTTTCACGTCGCCGACACAGAATGCAAGATTCTTGATGCCCATATCGATTGAAAGTATTCTCGGGCCGTTTAGCACAGTTCCGTGCTGGGCGAGTTTCGGTATCTTATATTGTGCTACCTCTAGAAATAGCCGACGTTGCAGCTCCTCCTTGGTGCCAGAGGTGGCGGCGCCGATTCGTTGAAGCAGGCCTTGGATCGTTTTCACTGTTGGGCCGCGGGACGCGGTGAATGCCGAAAATGGATTCTGTGAGCCCATGCTAGTAGTCGTGATCCGACTGAGTGATGTCATTTTGAGAATACAACGGACCAGGCACTAACAGGATGTAAAGGGATAGGGCGTGTGCAGAGTGAAATTTGCTAGAAGCCGCAGGGACCGCGCCGCGAACCAGGAGACGAAAAGAGCGACGATGGGGACATGCAACTGATGAAAAACAAGGCATACACGACCTGATGAATATGTCGATGGGACGTCGAAGTCGCGCTTGCCAATCTCGGTTGCACGCGTGGTCATGGCGCTATCACGTGACGGAAACTACACCATCATTTGGGCGATAGGCACATGCGCTATCGTCTTCTGAAACGTGAAACTCAAAGCCAGATGGACTCACACATGTCTGCTAAAAAGTTTATTTAAATCTCCATTCAAGCAACTCTACGAGTAATGGGGGGAACAAATCACTTCAAGATGGCGGATGCGGCAAGGCAGCTTCAGCTGTAGAAGTACAAGTCGAAGGGCAGCACAGCGTAAGAGCGACATCTAAGATTAGCTCCTTCTTCAGCGCCTTAATGCCAAAAGGACTCTTATTTTCAACACAGACAATGCAGCTATCTTATGAAAATAATAGTTAGGCAACGCACGTCGAGAGTTCTTCGATTTTTTGGCCTTCAAGAACGGCATGCCCCCTCAAGACCCTGACATCAATATTTGTCCCCAGATAAACAACACCTTTGAAAAACAGGGTCCCAACAACAAATAAGACATCAGCGAGGGCAGAAATCGCCAGTCTGAAGCCGAGGTGCCTAGAGATGCCTAAAATGGAGGGATGGAAGGTATCGGAGGAGGAAGCTGTCGAAACTGAACGAGATAGGTTGAAGGTGAAGGAATGTTGGAAGCTCTGGCCCCAACACATCACAGAGACTCAAACTTTCCGCAAAGGAAGAGTGGTATACTGCATAAAAGCTTTAGCCTTGTGGTATAGAGGGCGAGTCCGTCTCTGCTGTGTTATTAAATTGGCCAAACAAAGTGCGACCTCCTGAGATCCACGTGAATGGTCCGCCTGGTCTGAAAAGTAGTGTATTACGCCCCTAATTCATGCCGAAGAAGGATTACGTTCTTCTCTTCCCGAACCATACCCAAACTTTCTATGTATCGCAGATCAAATCGAAGTCCGGAAAGTCCGGATCAGGTATAATTTGGCTAGCAACGGCACCACTCTGGAAGTCCGTGACGGGAGCATTCTGCTGCGCACTATTGCACTCATCTGTTTCTCATCAGCACCGTTCACACCGCGCGTCCCTCTCCAGACTGGCAACCCTCCCTCCACCCTCATCAATACCCTCAACAATAAACAAAACAAAAAGTAAACTCACTCTTCTGCCCATCACAATCCCCCACCGTCAAATCCCCCTTGTTCCCCTGCGAGTTCGCGTTCTGACTACACTTCTGGAACTGATTATCACAACTCCTCTGCGCCGCGCTCGCAAAGTCTGTAAACGTATCCCCATCCACACGAAACGGGCGCTTCGCGTCACCAGAATTTGTAATCGGTGACGCCGCAAATCCTCCTAGAGCGTTTGTGAAGGATTGCAGGTTCGCCGTTTGTCGGAAGAAGAGCGTATTGCGCGGCATGAGGTGGAGGTAGTCGTCAGAGACGAGGGCGGGGGAGGGGGAGGCGAGACTGAGGGCCGGGAGGGCGAGGAGGAGTGTGAGGAGGGGTGGGGGGAGCATTTTGATTGTTGGAGGTGGGTTGGTGAGGTGGTGAGGTGTGGAGTGGTACATTCGAAGGATCGTTCGTTCGTCGGTGTCGAGTCGCTAAGCGCCGGCTCGAAAGGCTCTCCGTAAAAGAATTTAAACCCTTGATTTGGCCGTCAAAGTCCAAAACCCAATCTTTAAGCGCCCAGCACGTATTCCCAGTACAAGTGAGATAAACCCTAAAAGAAACCGACAAAACGAGCGGAAAGAAGATCAAAAGCCCAGACAGCCGACCCACGGCCTCATATGCTGCCAGCGCTGCAAATGCGCATCAAAGCCCCACGACACACTGGCGCGGAATCCGTTTTGCCGCTCTCTCGCGATACCCCGTTGAGCAATGTGGTGGCCGAGATGCGACGTTGCTGAAACACCATCGCCGCCCCTTTGACGTACCATCTCGTCTGACACCTGCCAACGCCATCTCACCACGTGCCCACTTCCCCACTATGTTCGTAATGCGATCTGCACCAGTAGCGCAAGAATCGATCCAATAAACTATGAAAGAGAACATAACGAAGGGCAAGGATGCGGCTATCAAACCATGCATTGAGAGCTCCAACTATGCAAACAGGCCACTGCTACAAATTACAAACTTTTATGACGACATGGGTCGATCGAAATCTTGCCCACAAAGGAGTGACATGAAATCAGAAAGGTAGACGGGATCAACTCCAAATACATGGGTGGAGTAGAGGTGATTGATATATCCCACA